CGTACGCACACTTCAGGATCTCTCCAGAAGTACTAAGTCATGCAGGTACTTTTTCTGTGAGAGTTTTCATGGTGTAAATATGTAACTTGCAAAAAGAATCAGTGAAAATCCACACCGCTAGCATCTCTAGACCAGTAAGCTAAATATCATATCTTATTTATAATAAGTTTTTATTTTTTATAAATCTTTAATGTATGTTTTGTATTACATTTACGATACTTTTGTGACAGAAAATCATCGAACAGCCTACTGTTGCTATGATTACCTGGTCATGCGAAGACGTTTGAAAGCAGCAGGTAAACATAAATCTCAAGCTCACTATATATATATCTTTTTCAATATTTAAAGAGAATGTATTTTTACCTGCCGTCAAATTGCAGTTATAAGGGCCTCATCGGAATATCAGTGTGACATGTTTCTCAACACACAATTCACTGACGCGGGGAACTAGTCGCTCGCACGCTTACTTGAAGTCAGGGAGTATTAAAAAAAATCTCTGAGCTGTCGCCATGGCAACAGCATTCAATCTCTTATACTTGACTTTAGCGTTACGGGTATTTTAATGGGAGCCTTTGTCACATATTACCAGCCTTTTTATTCCCCTTTTCCCCCTCACAAGCCGCAAAAGTTCCTTTTCTGTTCCTATTTTTATGTACAAGTGATCTCAATTAAGGACCTCCATGAAGGCTAGAGGCGGCAGACAGTCATGCCAATGAGAGCAAAAAGGAAATTGTCTTTGTAGCCTGCCACCAAAACCAGCCCCCACTTCTCCATCACCACCACCACCACAGGCCCCCCCTACTCCCCTTTCCATAACGAGCACAGCGCACATCCCAAAAAACCATCGTGTTCCTGAAATTTGCGACCATAGCACGGGTCCAATTTGCTCCCGGAGCCAGTTCTTGTGCCTCACTGGCAACTCAAAGCACTGAAGATCTCGTCTGCACTGATGATGTCACTGACCAGTCAATGACATGCGCCAATTATAGGCTCAGATTAAATCTGGGGGTTGAAAGGATGTTGAGAAGGTCTTCCTGATGAGGTAAGGCCACGAATCCTGCGTACGACTCATCGCCATCCCGCTCTGCGCGCTCGCGTATGTTCTCGTGAAGCGTGCCAAGGATGGAAAGTAACTATTTAAAATTGGAAGCCTCCGTAGCCCCATCAAATTGCTCCCCACATAAAGCCATAATTAAGTGTCTCAAAAAATGCACCACTGTGAAATAGAGCCCTGATCCAGGGACTTAAGTGGCTGTACTTTTCCTCTCAACCGTCGAAAGAATGCAGGACGAGAAAGGAGCAGAGAAAAACACTCATGTAGCAAGTTACATAATCCCAGGGCTGTATGAATCTGAATTGGAGTCATTTGGATATCATTAAAGCCCTGGAGCTCAGTGTCTCTTCGTGTTTACATTACCAGTCAACAATGGTTTCTTTGTCCCGTGTCATCACTTATAATTGGGGGGGGGGGGGGGGGGGATTTTTTTGCACGACTACTTGTCTGGTTGTGTTGAAACCGGCCTCTTTCAGCCGTTTCTGATGAGCTACCCGCGCTGGATTACGCTGTCAGCTCGGCGTATCACGGCATCAGCAGATAAGGGTTCGGTTACGTTCGGCTTATCACATCATCAGCGTTTGAGCTGGTTCCAATCCAGCACGAGTGTCTGGTGACAAACAGCTCAGAATAGCGCGCAGTAATCCCGGGTTCTTGCTCGGTGGATGCCTTCTAACCCCTCATCTTTGTAGCACATCATAGCCAGCTGTGTGGGCTCCGCTTGGCTCATTAGGAGATCAAACGAGACGCCCCGAAAAGAAGTGGGCAGAGCTCTCGAGGCACAGCGAGCCACTCCAATCACGTGCCTTCGCTCAACGCTGATATTGCTGGCAGATGGCGGCCATACTGTACCGGCAAAGTGGATTCAGATGTGATAAATGCTCTTTGATATCTCGTTGTGTATATGATTTAACACGCCTCTCGGTTTGGACATGTCGACAGTTGCTTTATTCCTCTTATTAAGTTTTATTTGCATCATTGTTTTATTGATAGCCACGAATCTCGAATGCAGGGACTGTTTGGCATCCATCTGCGAGGCTTTATTAACGTGAATCATTTTTCATCAACATTGATTTTATTTCCCAAACAAATCAGTGATTGAGACTTGTGCAAAAATCAGGCAAGCTGTTGGAATAATAGACAGGGTGTTTGTGAATTCAATAGCATCTACTTTGATTTACCTTTTTTTTTTTTTCTAAATTGAAAATTGATCTTTAATAACGTTGGCCAATCTTGAACACATTTTCGGTGCTCGGGGCAAACGGAGAGGCGGTGTAATTCAATCGCAACTTGTATAACTCAAACAATTTTTTCTCTCTCTTAACGACGTGCCAGATGCATGTCAGTGCTTCCTGAAGCTTTTTCTATCCCTCCCACATACAAGAGACTCGCAACTTACCCAAGAAACCATCGCCACCCCCACTCATGCCACCCTGCAAGACATTCATACAGTATACGTGAGCAATACTGAGCTACTTTAGCCTGTTTTCTAGCTGTAGTTATGAATCTGTATTCCTGAACAAGCAATCAGTATCATCCCTTTTTATTTTGTTAGTTTCGCAGTTGCTTTCGGTTGGTTTGTTGTTGTTTTTTCATGACAAAATGGCAATATCTGAAGGTCTCAATGTTAGCTGTAGGATACCATATTGTAAATGTCTTGCTTGTTCTTCATGTTCTTTCACGTTTTTTTCTTCTCTGCTCTTCAGGAACATGTTTAAGGCATATGGTTTTCCCTTCGACTGAAATATTAGGTTAAACGTTAAAGCTGAAGGAGGTCCCAAGACAAACATTTGGGAAAATTTTGATTGACTGCTGTCACTGATTGAGCCAGATTGATTTCTCTTGCACATTTCCGCCAAGATTAATTATTAGACCCTTTGTTTATATCCTATTTTGTTTATTGGCTGTGTCTGTGTTCCCATCAAAATTATGGAGCTATTATTCCAATGAATTTTTAAATGTGTGAAACATATTGCAACACTTATGACTTGGGTTAATCACAATCCGTGAGCCTGTTGAGTCAGAGGGAGAGATTGCCATCTACAGTATCACTGTGAGATGGAGAGTTAGAGTTATTAGATGACATATTTTAAATGGAAGGCTGTCTGTGGATCCTCTGTTCAGAGAGTCAAAAGAAGGTTTGCTCAAACTGTAGCCTGTTTAGTCTGTGCTTTATGGGGTAGCAGTGCGTGTGGGAAAGTGTATAATATGATTGTGAAAATATTCTGTCATTATGGTTCACTCAAACTATCAGCATGTTGCTCTGTGAGTCACACTTTCTTAGAAAAAGATATGAGAAGCTTTCAGGTAACTCCACTTAATTTTCACTTTTACAGTATGTTACATGTAGTTATTATTGTAATTATAAATTCTGCATAATACATGCAACTAACCCTAAACCAAACCTAATCCTAACCTTACAGTACATCTAGTTAATTAATATTACTCAGTACTTAAATGTATAATTACACCAAGGACACCTTAAAATATAAAGTGTAACTTTTTCTTTAATTAAACTCCTTTTTTGGATTGGAGGGTATTTCTATTAATAATATATGTCACGTGTATTTTTAAATGTTAATATTATAGTGTTTGTCAGCCAAAACAATAATTAAATATTTTATGTTCATTTTTACTGTTAAATGATTTGTATTACTGTTAAATTTTGCTAGAATATTAATGGCAGGTTCTGTTGTGACAATATTATTTGGGCATGTTGTCACAAAAGGTCAATGTGTTTTTCCTGGTCTATAATGTTTTTAAAATTGTAGTCAATAATCGACTTTATGTAGAAATGTCCACTTTATTAAGAAACGTGACAGCAGATACTGATACTATAGATATAAAGGGATAATCAGTACTTTCTGAATTCTAACCATAATTTAAATATTTCCAATTGCCCTTTTTTCAGTGTCTAAAAAACACAACATACTCAATATAAGTCCATATTGTGAAGTTCTTCTTGTAATCACCATGTGTGGTTTAATTAATTTATGCATGCAAATCCCATTGCCATTTTGCATATAGAAAAAGGACCCAGCCTAATTTAATAATGTCCTTTCTGCGACCGGTTTCAAGGAAAACATAAAAATGATGTATGATATTTTCATAATGCAGTAATTGAATCTATTCAGGACCCTACAGAGACAATTTCCATTCAGATATAAATGATAATAGCAATGCAGTTTTAAACTCTCACAGGCAGCGTTATAGACTAAAGGTCTACATGATCAGTGTACAGTTGAGTTGACTTGAGTTGAAATTTTATGATGTGATCGGGACATCACGTGTTTGATTGGCATCACTTTAATGATTGCATGATGCTGGAACTATATGAACCACAAAAAAGAGAAATCCCTGTCTTCAAAGACCTACCACATTGGAAGCAACAAACATTTCGCCTCCTGAGCTCTTTTCATCCTTAAAGCTTATTTTGATCCTGCGCTCTCCAGGGAGCGCCATTAGAGAGAACTTCACTGATCCAACACACCAGAGACAAAACATCTCCTTATATTTATTATTAATTCATATGCAATGAAACCTGACTGTGTCTACTGTACGTCTTTATCCGGACTGAAAGCGCGCTCTAGTGCCGCTGCTAACACCTATACGTTTCTGATTCGTTTTTAGACAAATTGTCTAATCTGCTATGATAAGATTCATACAATCTTAAAACTTTTTCAGAGACATGACCAAACCGTGCACATTAACCTTGTGGCGGTGAATTAAGCGACTTTTAATACAGGAAACGTAGTTAATGACGACTGAGCGCAAAGCGCCAATTGAAGTCTGGTTGAGTGTGTGTGTAACCCGCAGCACTTCCCAAACTCATCAGACTGCAGCGCTGAGCGCACGGAGAGGGACTGACGGCGCTCCTCACACGCAACGAGAGGACATACGTTCGTTTTTCGGCTAATTTCGACTGTTGTGATGCGCATTCCCGTAGATCCCAGCGTCGGACGGAGGTTCAGTCCGCCGGTGTCGGTGAAGATGAACGATGTGAACCCGAGCGCAGGACAGCAGCAGCAGCAGCACCAGGACAGCGCGGTGGTGCCGAGACTCCGCGCGCAAGAGAACCGCTCCATGGCCGAGATCATCGCCGACCACCCCGCTGAACTGGTCCGGACCGACAGTCCAAACTTTCTCTGCTCGGTCTTGCCTTCTCATTGGAGGTGTAATAAAACCCTACCGGTTGCGTTCAAGGTAAGAACTTGTTTTTAAATATGCGTCTTGGAAAATGCTTAGTCTTTATGACAAATAGTCATTTATTTGAGTGACATGTGTAACGATTGTTTGGACGATTGTTGTGTTAGTTTTTAGGTCTGCATAACTTAGTGAAAATCGAAGCTTGTGCATGTCAAATTTTCTATGCAATTTAAACACTTCTGACTGCACTGAGAAATAAGAACATAATTAGCCTACAGTAATATGATGTCTTAATTTAATAAAACATATTTAAACAGCATTATTAATAGGCCTTATACATAATATACCAAAACATTTTGCGAATTGCCTTTTAGATTTTAAGTGTAGCATGTGCTAGTTCGAAATTACTTTTATTTTAATTGTTAATATTTAAAATAATTATTTCTTTGCTGTCCCTAAGGACCCATCATCTTAAATGTATACAAAAAGTACTTCATATAATTGTATTAATTTCAGTCAGTTTTGCTGAATGTGTCTATTTTGTCAATTTGTCACGGATAGTTACTGTGTCAGTAGTCTGAATTGTGCCTTTGTACTATTTATACTCTAGTAAGAGTGTGTGAACAGCAATTTTCCCCCTTAATAACAAAATAGACTTTACTGGAACAAAGCTTCATTTAATAAGAAATAATGACATTGCTCTGGCATTATTCACTGTTTGATGTGTAATTCTGGCCTGTGGCAGAATCATTGCTCTTGGCTCGTGTTTATAGTCAGGCCTGTGCAGGTGTGGTTAGCTATTAGGTAATTGCCAGATTAGTAGCTAGATTAGTAATGATGAAATAGAATTCCAAGATCATATGCATGCAAATATATCGCTTCAGGTGCAATATGCTGACTCGTGTACTTACTGAACTAATAAATGCAGTCTGATGTAAACAACATTTTTAAATGTTTAATAACGATAATGATAGATTGCCACACAAGCACAGCATAGACATGCAACAAATTATTTAATAAATCATATTTATTATTTTATGCCAGCTGCTTTTTAGACTGCTTCAATCATGCATTAAAAGCCAAATGCATTCAAAGTTAAAGGAATAGTTCACCCAAAAATGAAAATTCTGTCATTACTTGCCGGTACTCACCCTCAAGTTGTTCCAAACCTGTATGAGTTTCTTTCTTCTGTTGAACACACAAGAAGATATTTCAAAGAATGTTGGTAGCCAAACAGTTGACGGCACCCACTGACTTCCAAAGTAGGAAGAAAATACTATGGAAGTCAATGGGGACCAAAAACTGTATGGTTACCAACATTCTTTAAAATATCTTCTTTTGTGTTCCACAGACAAAAAGAAACTCATACAGGTTTAGAACAACATGAGGGTGATTTTTTAATTTTTGGGTGAACTATCCCTTTAAAACTTGAATTCATATATATATATATATTTTTAATGTTAAATCTACATAAATACGCACATATGTTCAATTGTTTGCATGGAATCCTGCTATTAAATAATAATCAGAAGTCACAGGAGCTGTCTGAAGAAGCTGCTGAACAGAACATCTGCGCACATGCACTGTTTGAACCGTTGCATCATGGGTCTGTCCGCAGGTGGTGGCCCTGGGAGAGGTGGCTGATGGGACGGTGGTCACAGTGATGGCTGGGAATGATGAGAATTATTCAGCTGAGCTCAGGAATGCCTCAGGAGTTATGAAAAACCAGGTGGCCCGCTTCAACGACCTCCGCTTTGTGGGCCGAAGCGGAAGAGGTCAGTCCACTTTTGGAGAAATGTTTAGATGGTTTTCGGATTGTTGAAATGATTTAAATCCCTTATCATGCAGGTTTACATTGGGAATGTATTTATATCCAGGGTGGTTTGCATTTGTGAAGAAAATCAAAAATGAGCTTAACTGTCACTCAAAAGTTTGGCCACACCTTTTTTATGATTACCGCTTTCATGTTAGAGTATTACGGAGCCCCTGAAGGGGACATGGTGATGGAAAAAAATTAAAGATGGAAAATTAATAAGACACTTACAAAATGTTTGTGTTCCCCCAAGAAACTTTTGTGTTCTTCGCGAGCAAACGCAAAGTTTCTCAGGGGAACACAAAACATTTGCAAGGGAACGCAAAAGCATCGCCAAATCATTTTTCCTCCCATCTCATACTGTATATTTTTTTTCTTCACCATGTCCCTTTTGGGGGTCTGTAGAATATTGGTAGCTATTAAATCATGAAATAACCAAACATGAAAGTGCTAGAATCATGTATGGTAAACAAATCATCCTTTTAAACCGTATTAAAGATGTTCACGTGGATATCGGACACTTGTTGAGGCTTTCCTTCACTGTTTGGCCCAACTCATTCAATTTTGTAATTCATTTTTTTCAAATTAAAATGCAGTCAAAGCACTCAAGTGTTTCTCCTAGCTAGCTAAGACCTATATATCAGTAAAATAATGCAAAAAAGGTCTGCACTCGAAAAATACTTTTATGAGTATCAAGCAGGAGATAAATTTAAAGATTAGTTAAAATGCACAATTACAGTACACAATTGATATGTAGGACCAATTTATATTTAGCTACAGAATTAATTGAAAGTATTATACAATAACTTTTACATCATAAGGTTTTGAACATCATGAGAAACTTCAAGCTTTCAAGCTTGTCCAAACAATGCACTTTCTACAAGTTTACTCCTGTTTACCATATGATATTCCAGATTATATTATCACACCATGCGTTTTTCTATTAAGCTTAATCATTTTGTGTTTATCTACACTTGCACAATGTCATGTGGAGAAATCCTCCAGGGAGATTTGGTAACAGAGGCACGCGGTCAAACAGGGACACATGACATTCTTAGAATAATTATAGTCAGTCTGTGTACTGAGCTATCAGTTACGAGCCAACACCGTTGTGAAACCACATCACCACATTGGCGGTAAGAATGCACTCATTAAATTACAGGTCTGTGTGCGTTCGGCACTAAGGTTTCTCATACCATCGACGGCAACTTAGGTGCCTACGTAGCGGCCTTTTGTGTGTTGGATGATTTTGCATATTGCTCAGATGATTTTTTAAGGGTAAAGCGTTAAATTCTGTGCTTTTAGAATCACTGCATGAAATTGTAAAAAATAATGATTCTTAAAAAAGCCTATCATTTTCTACATTGGGAAATAACGATAATTTATTCACCTTTAAACATAGCATTACCGTGAGCTATGAGGTTGTTAATTAATAGTATTTGTTTCTGTTTAAGCCGTCAGCCTGGCTTATTTCTTTTTTTTTTTTTTTACAATCATGGTGAAAAACTAAATTAGCCATGATGCTGTACAGGAAAATTCCACCAATCAGAGAGTCGCCACAAGCAAAACTCGCCAAAAGAGCTCTTTAGCTCCGCCCACTCCCATGAAGCACAATGAATGACGTAATTAGGTGTTCAAGCACGAAGTGCTGAAAACCTATTGTATTTGTAAGGATTTTTAGGTGTTCAAGCACGAAGTGCTGAAAACCTATTGTATTTGTACTGATTTTTATTATTATTATTATTATTATTATTATTATTATTTTTCTTCCGCCGTAAAACGCATCGTGCAGCCCAAACCGTAAGTGCTAGAGACTTGAAACTTGGCCAGTAGGTAGTACAAAAATCGAGGAGAGGTTATCAAATTATGAGCCCGATTGGCCCATAGGTGGCGCTATAGCAACCAATTGCACAAAACTGCTCATAACTCCTAGACCGTAAGTCGTAGACTCAAGTGTCTTATATCACTGGAAAGCTGGTCACCTGACGAAAAAAACGTATATCTCCGATTTAATTTCCGCCAATATAGATTTTCCGCCATTTTGAATTTTGTTAAAAAACTACTTTTGCGAACTAGTCCCTGGTTTTTTGTCCGATCGGAACCAAACCAGTGCAGAAATGTTCTTTGGAGTCTGAATGTTAATAATTATTGAAAAAAAGTTGAAATTTCGATTTTTGGTCGCTAGGGGGCGCAAAATGAACATTGTGGGAGGAGCCTATTTTACTAAAATGGCTATAACTCGATAAGGAAATGAGATAGCTTCACCAAACTTGGTACACATGTGAATGAGTTCAATCTGAGGTCACAGTAAAAAAATTGCATCGATCGAACACTAGGTGGCGCTATAACATGAAAAAAACATATAAAGGGCTGACCGTTAGTCCGATTGACCTGAAAATTGGTATGCAGTGTCTTGGTCCAAGGCCCCATGTATGTGTAAGAGGACATTGGCGTATCTCAAAAAACATGGCCGCCATCGGCCAATTAAGTTTGATCACCTGTGAGACGAGGTTAATGGAGGCCAATCAGAACGAAACTCGATGGGCATGTTCGACTCATGGCCCAAGAGGTCTGTAAGAGTTTTGAAAGAAATCGGCCACTAGTTGGCGCTAACGAGTTTTACGGCTCTGTAATCACGTGGTGTTGCACATATCGCCACAACATGCATATCATTTGATAGATCTCCTCATGTTGAACAACTTTGCCTCTAGAACCATTGCTGTCAATAAAACCGTTCATTAAATATTCATGAATATGTTAAAAACCTACTTTTGCAAACTAGTCCCTGGTTTTTTGCCCGATCGGAACCAGACCAGTCTAGGACAATTCTCTGGACTCTCTAGATCAATAATTATTGAAAAAAAGTTGAATTTTGCCCTTTTGTTTGCTATAACAGGATCATTTTTAAAAAGAGGCGTGTCAAAACACACTCAAAACCCTATAAATCATAAATAAAAACTCGGAAGTTCACAAAAATTGGTGAGCATATGTGACATAACATCATTAACAAGCATGCAAAGTTTCATGGAGATCGGACAATAGGTGGCGCTATAACTGTTGAAAAGCTTTAAAACCATGTATTTCCTATGGTAAATTGCCTGTATTGGCTGTAAATGGTGTTTTCCATCTATTATGTCAGTGTTTAAATGTATGCTAAATAAAACTTAATGTCTTTTGATGCTTTTGTGCTTAACGGCCTTAAAGGCCTTAACTGCTTGAACACCGCTAAATGCTGCTTGCAGCTTTAATTATTATTATTATTATTATTTTTCTTCCGCCGTAAAACGCATCGTGCAGCCCAAACCGTAAGAGCTGGAGCCTTGAAACTTTGTCAGATGGTAGTACAAAAATCGAGGAGAGGTTATCAAATTATGAGCCCGATTGGCCCATAGGTGGCGCTATAGCAACCAATTGCGCGAAACTGCTCATAACTCCTAGACCGTAAGTCGTAGACTCAAGTGTCTTATATCACTGGAAAGCTGGTCACCTGACGAAAAAAACGTATATCTCCGATTTAATTTCCGCCAATATAGATTTTCCGCCATTTTGAATTTTGTCAAAAAACTACTTTTGCGAACTAGTCCCTGGTTTTTCGCCCGATTGGAACCAAACCAGTGCAGAAATGTTCTCTGGAGTCTGAATATCAATAATTATTGAAAAAAAGTCGAAATTTCGATTTCCGGTCGCTAGGGGGTGCAAAATAAACGTTGTGGGAGGAGCCTATTTTACTAAAATGGCTATAACTCGTAAACAAAATGAGATATTTTTACCAAACTTGCTAGACATATGTATGAGCTCAATTTGAGGTCACAGTAAAAAAATTGCGTTGATTGAGCTCTAGGTGGCGCTATAACATGAAAAAAACATATGGCCACCTAGTGGTTAGTCCGATTGACTTGAAAATTGGTATGCAGTGTCTTGGTCCAAGGCCCCATGTATGTTTATGAGGACATTGGCGTATCTCAAAAAACATGGCCGCCATCGGCCAATTAAGTTTGAGCACCTGTGAGACGAGGTTAACGGAGGCCAATCGGAACGAAACTCGATGGGCATGTTCGACTCATGGCCCAAGAGGTCTGTAAGAGTTTTGAAAGAAATCGGCCACTAGTTGGCGCTAACGAGTTTTATGGCTCTGTAATCACGTGGTGTTGCACACATCCCCACAAAATGCCTATAATTTGATAGATCTCCTCATGCTGAACAACTTTGCCTCTAGAACCATTGCTGTCAATCAAACCGTTCATTAAATATTCACGAATATGTTAAAAACCTACTTTTGCGAACTAGTCCCTGGTTTTTTGCCCGATCGGAACCAGACCAGTCTAGGACAATTCTCTGGACTCTCTAGATCAATAATTATTAAAAAAAAGTTTAACTTTTGCATTTTTCGTATGGCTATAATAGGGTCATTTAGAAAAGGGGCGTGTCCAAATACACTCAAAAGCCTATAAATCATTCAAAAAAACTCAGAACTTCACAAAAATTGGTGAGCATATGTGACATAACATCATGAACAAGCATGCAAAGTTTTATGGAGATCGGACAATAGGTGGCGCTATAACTGTTGAAAAGGTTTAAAACCATGTATTTCCTATGGTAAATTGCTTGTATTGGCTGTAAATGGTCTTTTCCATCTATGGTCATATAATTTTCATATCATAATGTTCAAAATCAGTGCAGTACAATTCTCTGGAATCTCTAGATCAATAATTATCGAAAAAAAGTTGAACTTTGCCATTTGGTTCATTATAACAGGATCATTTATAAAAAGGGGCGTGTCAAAACACACTCAAAAGCCTATAAATCATAATTAAAAACTCAGAACTTCACAAAAATTGGTGAGCATATGTGCCATAACATCATGAACACGCATGCAAAGTTTTATGGAGATCGGACAATAGGTGGCGCTATAACTGTTGAAAAGCTTTAAAACCATGTATTTCCTATGGTAATTGCCTGTATTGGCTGTAAATGGTGTGTTCCATCTATGATCATATAATATTTATATCATAATGTTCAAAATCAGTGCAGTACAATTCTCTGGACTCTCTAGATAAATAATTATCAGAAAAGTTATAACTTTATTAGGGTCACTTCAATATGTAGCCTTGACCAAGAAAGCCTATATCTCTTCAATGAATGCTCAGATCTTCTTAAAAACAAGTCAGAACATGTGACTCTAAATAAGATAAGAAATAATGCATCTATAACAGTTTAAAAGGTTAAAGTTATGACATAATGGCATATTAAGCCAATAAGTGGTATTCTACTGCCCCCTGCTGTTTAAAATAGTCATTTTGTCATGCTACTAACTACTAATATTCTATAATTCTTATTTAGAGTTTATAAAATCACTATTTTAACATTTACACTCACATTTTGTCAAAATTCATCTATTGAAGCATTGTGTCACAGACAAATGTTAATCCTGAATGAGACACAGTTCAGATCACTTTATCTACAACAGAATGTGTGAGTGTAGTCCCATGTTTCTGAATAAATCCTGAATAATCTGATTAATAGCTTGCAAAGACATATATTTTAATGGTCTATAAGCATTTCATATATTTTCATTATATTTTCATAATGACTTGTGCGTGTGTGTGTGTGTCTAGATCTGAAAGCACCTGTGAAAAGACTTTATTAATAAGTAGAGTGGCCAGCAGAGGGCAGTAGAAGACCACTTATTGGCTCACTTTCATTTTAACAGCCTCGAGTTTCAACAAAATTCTGAACTAAAGCAAACCAGTTTTTCCATGTTAACTGCATTATCCATGCTTACTATAAAATCCATTATAACAATTACTATTATAACACAATCATATTTTGTCAGAGTGTAACACTTTATTTGTACTGACACATGCTAGATGCATGGTAAATCATACTAGAACGCAGTAAATCATGGTAAACAGTCGTAAATCATGCTAGAACAGGGTAAATCATGTAAAGCATACTACAACATGGAATATCATGGTAAAACTATGGTAAATCATGCTAGATTCATGGTAAATCATACCAGAGCGTGGTAAATCATGGTAAACGATGGTAAATTATGCTACAACAGGGTAAATCATGTAAAGCATACTAGAACATTGTGAATCATGCTAGATTCATGGTAAATCATACTAGAACATGGTAAATCATGGTAAAACTATGGTAAATCATGCTAGATTCATGGTAAATCATACCAGAGCGTGGTAAATCATGGTAAACGATGGTAAATTATGCTACAACAGGGTAAATCATGTAAAGCATACTAGAACATTGTGAATCATGCAAGATTCATGGTAAATCATACTAGAACATGGTAAATCATGGTAAAACTATGGTGAATCATGCTAGATTCATGGTAAATCAAACTAGAACATGGTAAATCATGGTAAAACTATGGTAAATCATGCTAGGTTCATAGTAAATCATACCAGAGCGTGGTAAATCATGGTAAACGATGGTAAATTATGCTACAACAGGGTAAATCATGTAAATCATACTAGAACATGGTTAATCATGGTAAAACTATGGTAAATCATGCTAGTATCATGGTAAATCATGGTAAACGGTTTTCCATCTATTATGTCAGTGGTTACATGCTTGCTAAATGTCTTTAATGCTTATGTGCTAAAAGGGCTTAACTGCTTGAACACCGCTAAATGCTGCTTGCAGCTTTAATTTAATCTTGAGTCTGCAAACTGTGCATTAAACTTCAAATACATTGTTTTCATATCAACATTTTTAAATGAGTAGTTTTATATTTATTTATATATCGTTTTTTATATAGTTTTATATATCGTTTTTAATTTGATTATGCCGTTCACGATGCTTCATGGGTTTGTAGTTTTTTCATTCATAAAGTCGTTTAGTTTAACAATCTTTGTATTTTTTCAAATATAGTTTAGCAATATTATGATTCACCTCCTAGCTGGTTGGCTTGTTTCTTGGCTTAAAACGCTTTAACGAAGACTATTTTTGAAATCCATATGGGAGAAATAAATAATAATGAAAAGATAGCCACGCCCCCAAACTTACACCATTGGTTTTAAGTCAAATTGAAGTTCTATATTTAGACAGACTAACTTGCAAATAACTTATTTATTGTTGTCTCTGCATGGGGGAAAGTGAAGAATTACACACTTCACTAAATTTAGTTTTTTTTTTAAATCCTACACTCCATAAAAAGATTAAATAGAAATATTTTGGTTCCTTTATTCTTAAAGCCTCATGATTTTTGACACTTGGAGATTAATTTTATTTTATTTTTGATTTATTCGATTCCAGGGCACGATGACATATTGTATTACCAATATGTTCAAATTATTTTTACATTATGAGAGCCATTTGGTCGTATTTAATTCTATTTTATGATCACAAGTCTTATGAATTCACTGTCAGCAGATCTGTGCTGCTGTGTGGTGCTGAGATTCCACGCGTCTTGCCAGCTGTTTCCCATCGTTGCCAAAGTATTCCACCCACTACTTCCTGTCTCCCCAGCAAACCAGGGGCATTCATGAGTAGGAACCATTGGAGCGTCATGTTAATCCCTTGTTCCCCTGTATTAAACCACCAGAGAGCACAAATTGTCTGGAAACAGTGTTTAGGGAAGTGAGCTGTCTAGATTGCCGATGCCACAGTTTAGCGTCGCACAATTTCCCAGCAGCCCACTGTCCTGTTCATGTTCTGAGAGCAACAAAAAGTAGTCCAAAATGATGCTGAAGTCATTCAAATCTTTAAATATACCCGGATTATAAACTCAAGGAGCTCAGTCTTGCTTTGACACTGAGTAAAGCCCTTCAATGTTTCTGTGTTTGCACAGGGAAGAGCTTCACCCTGACGATTACAGTATTCACAAACCCACCGCAAGTGGCCACTTACCACAGAGCCATTAAGGTCACGGTGGACGGACCGCGGGAGCCCAGGAGTGAGTACACCTTATATTACATACGGCTGTGACTAACCACATCCACGAGGCCTGTCATCACGTCCACCTCTCTGTCGGGCCGCAATCGCACCTCATCAAAGGCTTGCGGTCACTCGTGCATGTGCTAGTGATTGATTTATTTATTTTCTGATTTCTGCCTCAATCGGGTTTGTCGTGAAATCATTGCCGAAGAAATTCTCTCAGGGTAGACAGATTGATGGCTTTAATTTAGCTTTGAACAGACTGGAGACTTGGTTTCAGGATTGCTATTACTATTGGGAAATACATATACAGTATATATATATCCAATGAAGTCAGCATTAGTCATGGAACGGATTGTGGTACTTTTTCATATTTTCTGTTTAACATACAAATATAGTTATGATTTTTTTTAGTTTTATGTTTAAGTAAGTAGCACAAACCCTTCCATGACTAATGCTGAATTCATTGGATATATATATATATATACTATAATTTCTGAGAGAAATGGGATATTCAGTGGAATAATTGAATGCTTTTGCAAAGTTGTGAAACATCTTGCATGTGACGAGAGAGGAAAAAGTTCACGTAGCATGTGCACTTCATGAACGAATCACTAGATTTGGTTCTTTTCAATGAATCATTTGAGCCAATTGGTGAATCATTTTTGATCAAACACTGGAGTCATTGGATTGAATCTGTCAGACCACTCACTTCCTCATTGAATCGTTAGTCTAACTTACTGAACTGCAGATTATTGTGTCCGGTAACACTTTATTTTAAGGTGGCATAGTTACACGTTACTTACTATTAATAACAGTAAATTATGCATAATTACAAGCAACTAACCCAAAACCGTAACTCTATAGTAAGTACATGTAGTTAATTAATATTACTCAATACTTATTTGAGTTAGTACAGTGTACCTTAAATATCCCCTTAAAATCAAGTGTCACCCTGTGTCCTACTTAAAATGAGTCAATGTGTACTTTTAGAAAGGTTAGTGAAACTTAGATGAGTCCATAAGGTAAAGATATATATATACACAACAGACATTTAGAGTTTTGTTGTGATCATTTTAAAGTCAACATGAATCAAAATTGGTATTAATATATAATATATATTTATATATTAAAATTAAATGTATTATAAGACAGATATAAATATTCTTATTGTGAACAATTCATCAGTGCATGTTTTTCCAATTATTATAATTTTTCGGTCTGTGTAATCTTCAAATATTAAATAAAAAATATATATATACCGTGTATATATATATATATATATATATATATATATATATATATATATATATAAAATATTTAAACATTTTATTTAGTTATGTTATCTTTAAATATTTTATGTATATTATAAAACCAATATTTATTATGATGAATGATTAATAAATATTTGCTATGATTAATACAAGTATTTTTGGGCTGATTTATTTGTATTATATAATTCTTTTTTCTCTCTCCAACATAAAACTCCTGTGGGAAACACTGCAACGAATTGTGCACCAACTAAATAAACAGTTCATTTTGACTATAGAGAATTCCGACTTTTGCGAGTTGTTTCTGGTAGCCGGCTGGTCTGTCAGTGTTATCTTAATCAGCTGTCTGTCTCAGCATTAGGTTAGTGTCTGCACAGAGGTTCTACCGCGGTAACATTGTGCTTGCATCAGCTTGTTTTAATGGCACTTATAAAACAGCGGAAAAAAATCTACTACATCTGTCAGTGCCAACTGGTCTGGCAAGCAGCTGTTTTACTTTATTATGAAAAATATATACTTTCGTCTTGGCTTAGAAATCAAGCCTATCACATCCCTAACAACATTTCTGCCTCTCTTTTTCTCTCTGACTTTCAGACTATTCTCAATGAACACATATGGTACTAGTATTTAGAGGCTGTATATGGTCTTGATTCTTCATTGTATTACAATGGCCTCTAGCAACTACAGGCCTCGTCTTTGATGTTGAAGACTTCCTCTATTTCTGCCTTATCTATGAGTGAAGTTTTTGAAAGGCTTGCAGGCCGTGTTATTGTGCGTAGAAACAGATGAAAGGGTATTTTACGGGTGGCTTTTTGTATAGCGCTGATCTGATATTGGAAAGCTCCTGTCTCGGCTTACAATATGCTGTCAGATTGCAATTAAGAATACCACGTCTCTGATAGACCGAAAGATTTCACATTCCACAATTTTAGTGCATATATTGCACAGTATTGTCTGTATACTGCTTATTATTATGTGTTAAAGAAGTATGTGGAACAGTATGCAGTGTTAAAAGGATAGTTCCCCCAAAAATGAAAATTCTGCCCTCATGTGTCAAACCTGTATGAGTTTCTTTCCTCTGTTGAACACAAAAGAAGATATTTAGAAGAATGTTGGTTGACGGTAGCCATTGACTTCCATAATATTTTTTTTCTTGGCATGTTAAAAATTGTGGTTTAAAAATTGACCTTGATGTCACGAGTTCATTCATCACACTAGAAATGGAAATTAAAGTGTAATGCATTGTGGGATTCAGTAATAAATGCAGTGTGTTATTGTTGTATACTGAAATAGCATACTAACATACTATTGCTATAACTTTTGCTGCAGTATATAGTATGTATATTGTGCATAATATGCCGATTTTCTGTATGCAAATAGAATACCTTGATAAATACCTAATACGTTTATCAGAACAGTCAATACTGTGTGCAATATTGTGTCCCAACTTGACCTCTCCTTTCCAGCCACAATTGTTAAAATAACTTTTTTTATTACTATTATCAATGTTGAAAACAGTTGTGCTGCTTAATATTGTTGTGGAAACCGTTATACATTCCGGTCAGGATTCTTTGAATTAGAAAGTTCAAAAGAAAATGTAGGCTATTTGAAATATAATTTTTTTTGGTAATAATAAAGTCTTTACTGTCACTTTTGATCAATTTAATGTGTACTTGATGGAAAAAAGTCTTTATTTCTTTTACTGTCCCTAAACTTTTGAACAGAAGTGTGTATATTTATTTATATTTTATATTTTTGGGGCTATATATCAATAAATAGTCAGTTGGGTTTTTTAAAAAGTATTTGTCCTTTAATTTAAGTCATGTCAATTTTATTTTTAACTATTATTGAATGTATAATTGACAGCAACTGGTAACTGGACACCACTTGCCTGGTGAACATGCAATGTGATGAGGTCATGTGACTTACACAGAGAGCTACAGTACATGCAACTTTTGCCCTTCTTTTTTCCCAAAAATTGGGTAATATGGCATATTTTTCTGAAGACAGTGGTAGTAAGGCAGCAAGGCACGTCCGAATCCAATGATCGTGTCACATCCGGTCTCCCGAGAATCTTCCATCTGATGTGTTTTTGAAGGCAGCATAAATGTATCCTTCACTGCCTTTGATATCCCACAATCCTGTGTGTCCCATTCCGTGACAGCTGAGCTAAAAAATAAATATGGTCGTCTGAAAATTGCGGTTGATGGTCAGTTTGTGTGTAAATGTAAATTTTTTACCTTCTTTTCCCACTTTTAATGTCAATTAATAGTGAGAAATTACTATAACTACTATACTACTATAGTTTTACGGCTGTGTTCGAAATCGCCCCCTATACCCTCATTCACTATTCCCTACATTACTCCACTAATATAGTCCACTTGAAGAAGTGAATGAAAACGAGCGAGTGAATTCGGACACTGGCTGCGCCGGTATAGGCTGGCAATTTTGCATAAACCTTAATTAAACAATCTTATAATCAATTAAAAAGGAATTTATACCTGTATGATATCACACTATAACCACATTGGACAAACGGTTTGGAAAATGGATGGATGGATGATTCTGCGGGCGCCATCTTTTGGTGAGACGCGGGAATTCATTCGACACGACCTTCACAGTGCATTATGGGTATTCTCTAGCTGTTGAGCATACATTTGTTGTACACTTGTTATTGCGGTGCATTGTGGGATTGAATGAGTGCACTAGATAACGTCCACAATGGTTTCGGACACCACTACAAATGGCTGTCCCCTCAAGTAGTGCCCTATTTAGGGGTATGGGGTGTGATTTCGGACACAGCCTACATGTCAAGTCATTGCCTGATAGGGCAGCGAGGCACTTTCGGATGAGCTTTCAGACTTTCAGTATAGACACAGTTTAAATACCAAAGGATCAAAGTCTTGAAACATCTACTGTACAAGAACTTTGGTGTTTGGAAATATCCTGAACTGTTAGTGCTATAAAAAGAGAGAGCAGTCATGCACCACATACATCTACGGCATCAATTAAGCAGAGACAAGGAAACAAATGAACCAAGAAATAAATGCGCAAAGAATTTGTCAAACATCACCTGCGCTCTGAGCATGTGCAGATGTCCATGCGCTCGCTACGAGACTAATCACATATGCCCTCTTAATAATTTCACATTTCGCACTGATTTTATCGACGAACGCCTCATTTCTGCCTCATTAAACCTCAAATTGGCGTTAATGAGCAGGTAATTTGGGAAGAGGCCCGTCTCGAACCTTCAGACAATGCCTACAGTGTGCTGTCAGGGTGTCCTGATGGAACATCTCTATGTGTTTATATTTTTTGAGAATCATAGAAATAACTGTAACATGTTTTTTTGTACATCAAATTATTATTATTTCAGTCAAAATATCCTCATTATGTCCAGTACAGGTGGCTGTAATGCTCGTTTGGGTCGTGTTTTTCCCCGTCCACCACACAGGCCTCCTTCTGAGGCTGATATCCAGTACAGGAAGCGTATTAATGTGTTTGTGTATTTAATAGATCTTGATGGGTGCCATATGAACTGTGAATCAATAGGGCCAGGAAAGCGCTAGACAACGAGAGCGTTGAGTATTTCTCTGTGACAGACGTCTCTCAGTGAGTTTGCTTCTTGATTGGCTCACACATGGGTTTTTCTCTTAGCCAGAAGTGCTCAGCTCAAGTCCATACACCTGTTTCTTATTGCAGTTGTATCATAACAGTGCATGCTGTCCTAACATTTGAATTGAATTAT